CCAGCAGGTGGCATAATGTTTAGGGTGCTGGGCTTCCAAGTCCTCCATCTCAAGGCTTGAAAATCACATCAGGCATGTAGTCCTAGATCTCAAGGCTTGAAAATCACATCAGGCATGTGTGTGTATATTTCCAAATCCCAGGAGGAGAATGGAGAGGGATTGTGGCATGGCCATTTCTTCTGGGGCGAGGGGATTTCTCACTTTCCTTCTCACTGTCTCTCTCTTTCTCTCCAATGAGTGCATACACCCTATGACAAAAACCTATTTTGAAAAAAAAAGAAAGAATGAAAATGGGGTGTATACAATAAAATATTATTCAGTTTTAAAAGGAAAAGAGAAATTAAAACTGAGAAAATTTAAAATACAAGGATATATAAATACATTCTCTTAACTGTCAAAATAATAATGTTATCACTCATCATGTAGCCACTGGACAACTCCAATGTACAGCTGAGAGAATGAAAGTAAAAATGAGACTCTGAGAACCTCACACATATATATATTTGCATATACACACATGATAAGTGTGTATATGTGTGTTGGTAGCATTTTATTTGCTTGGCAAGTCAATGATAAACTCTTAGCTACTTGTTTGTACTTCTGCTGGTTTTTCTAATCCTGGCTCCTTACTCTTTTTGGCCAGTCTTGTGGGATTGTGCTTTTGCATTTAAAGTTTGGAGTTAGATGGCAGAGTCCTACAGAAAAAGTCAAAGGTCTTAGATGAACAAAGGGCAATATAATTTGGTTCCTTATAGTTTCACCTAGAATAAAAGTCAGATGCTTCTCATCTCAAATAATGCTGATGGCATGGAAGGTCATGGCATATTGAGAGGTTCAAGGCCCAGACCTGGCAGCTTAAAAAATACTGGGTGCATTTGTATGCATCCCCAAAATCCCGAGGGAAGAAATGAAAAAGGAGGGACTGCAGTGTGGCCATCCCTACTGGGAGGTGCTTTCTCATTTTCCTCTTTCTCTTGTCATCTCTGTCTCTGGCGAGTGCAGAACAAAAATTTAAAAAAAAAATAGTTGCTAAGATAATTGTTAGAAACTAGGAAAATAATGATACTGTGACAGTATTTATAAGTTTAACATCATGGTTAGAGTTTAAAAAGCAACTATAATTCATTTATGAGGTTTCTTTTTTTGTATTCCAATTCTGTTATATATAACTAAAGTAGTCTGAAAGGTTCATTCTTATATATAAAAAAAAGTCGAAATGGTCTTTAGCAATTTTCTCTTGTCCCTTTGGTCACTGAATTAAATTTTATAAAACCTTGATAAAAAGACATCAGAGCACAGCCAAGTTCACTGAGCTTGACTTGTTTTCGCCACACATTCATCGCCCCTGGAGAGGCTGCAGAAGCAGCTACCACTCTCTAAGTAGGCGTTCTCTCTCCCCATGGAGGAGTTAAGTTCAACTTCTGTTTTATTTCCCCTTAAGCAGACAGGACAGTTTCCTCCTTATCAAGAATTCGGGTGAAGGTTTCAGGTTTCCCCTGAGATGTTCAGACAAACATGGTTGCACTAAAGTACTGACATTAATGTTTTCGTAACTTGCACTTTGCTTTCTATGTTGTTACTCAACTGACTTGTGAATTATACAGTCTAATGAGGATAAACATTTTCTTAATAAACTCAGAAACCTCTAGGTAGACTGAAAATACTCTATGTAGCACAGTAAGAAGAAAAAACATATCCTTATTTTTAAGCACTTTTCAAACTCTGTGCTAATGTAGCTCCTTCAATGGTGGTGTAGAAAGTAACCATTTGGGAATTAACTGCTTGCATTGAGACTGTTTCATTTTCCTTTTCCATATTTTATAAACAAGTGGTCTAAAGCACTAGTCCAGGATACAGGATTTTATGTGATTGTTGGCACAGATACTGAACAAGTACAATTTGGGGCGGGTGGGGGGTGGTGGAGAAAAAGACAAATATATATTCAATTTTCCCAGTTAATGACTAATTTCAAAGAAAACGGCAACAAGAATGTGATTTCAAATGAGCAAATCACTTACACACAGTTTTGGGTAATGGGAATGACTGAAAAATACTAAGTTATTGAGTGCTTCCTTCTAAGGTTACAACTGCTTTCTTGAATCACCGTCATTACTACAGAATCGGTGCTAACCACCCTCCTGCTTCAATTAACTCTGGAAAGGCAGCAAAACTCCAGTTCATAAACCCACTTGGAAAAGGTTGTGATTTGCAAAGTCTAATACACACAAATGTTAAAATAAAAACTGTCAATGACAGATTCTAAGTGGAATTTCCCCGGTATTTCCAGGAAGCAGATGTTTGAAGAAGTTCATTATTACTTAGTGAAAATTTCATGCTAGAAGAAAATGGTCAATCAGTGACCAGTTTCTAAAAACTGTTAAGTTCAATAGTATAATTTATATGTCTGTTATAAATTCAAATTGTCCTATCATTGCATAATCACTTCCATGATCAGTAAACACCATTAAGTCTGATCATTTTTCTCAAAGAAATACCAGTTCTTATTTAATTTATTTATTTATTTACTTATTTTTGTGAGAGTTTTTTGCTATAGGGTGCATGAGCTCTCTAGAAAGACAAAGAGAGACAGAGAGACAGAAAGTGAGAAATCACCCCCCAGGGGGGATGGCCATGCTGCAATCCCTTGTCCTCCATTCTCCTCTCAGGATCTTGGGCACGCATGCACATGTGCCCAGTGTGAGTTTAAATCTCTGGGTCCGGGACTCGAACTGCAGTCGACTACATGGGAGTCCAGCGATATAGTCGTTACGCCAACTGCTGGTCTCAAAGAAATACCAGTTTTATGGATATCTGAGTAAAGGAGAAGTTGCTCTTAGGTCAACTTCATGACTACAAATTCAACATAGTTTTGTGGACTGACCAAGGAGTATTACAAAAATCAGTAACTGTATAAAAACAACATATACAGATGAACCGAATTTATTGTTTTTTTGTTTTGCTTGTCAGAGGGTGTGTGCACTTTCTGGAGGAAGATAGATATTGCACTGTTGGAAGTCATGACGCATTTTTACATAGAAAAAAATATGTCATGACTTTTTTTGACAACCCAATAGATAAAGAAAGTAAGAAAGTACTTCCTCTTTGGGGAATGGTTGCACCATAATCCCACTTCCTCCATTTCTCCCTCCTTGTGGGATTTAACTTACACACACCTGGGACTCGAACTGCATAGCTGGCCATGTGAGATCCAGCTGACTTAACCATCATGCCACAGGCTGACCTTCAAGTTCTTTTTTTTTTTTTGGAGAGGTTTTTGCTATAGGGCACATGTGCTCGCCAGAAAAACACAGAGAGATAAAGAGATAGAAAGAGAGAAATCACCCGCCAGGGGGATGGCCACGCTGCAATCCCTTCTCCTCCATTCTCCTCTTGGGATCTTAGACATGCATGCACACGCACATGCCTGGTGTGAGTTTAAGCCACCGGGTCCAGGACTCGAACAGCGGTCGACTACATGGGAGTCCAGCGACATAGCCATTATGCTAACTGCTGGTGCCAGACCCTCAAGTTTTTAATAAACATAATTTCCCACTGCCATTCTGGCCCCAACTAAGGTTTCCAAGGAGGTATTAGAAAGACGTCCTTTCCTTATCTCGAGTCATGGCAAGTGCAGAATTAAGTGAGTTGTTATGCTAATTATTTTAAAATTCAGAATATTTAACTTAGCAGGAAAATCTTAAAAGATACTTTTTGGAATTATAAACTCCATACCTTAATGGAATGACAGATCATAACATCACGCACATATACACTCACATACAAATAAATAAATAAAAAAGAAGAAAAAGAGCACCAGCCAGGTTGTGGCTGCACACAGCTCTCTGTTTATCTGTATAGAAATCGGGACTGTGTGCTGTTCCCACAGTCTGGTATCAGCACAACCATTTAGAAATGAATCAAACCACAGGAAACAAGCAAAACAACTCTCCAGCTGTCTGGTATGCATCAACACTTCAAGCTCAGTATTTAAATTCTCTACGAAAGTTTCTAAACATGAAACCACTCAGTTGTCATCTGGCGATTTACAGAGTTCCTCAGCAGAACTTCATGAACTTCTTTAGTAGATAATTTTTAGCATCTTCATCTAACCCATGTCCCAAATCATAAAAGATGTCACGATAGTGGCGCTGCCCTAAAGGAACCCATAATGCATTCTCCTTCTCATCACTGTATTGTGCTCTCACTCCCTGGCTACTTCTGTTCTAGTCCATCACTGTCCTCAGTGGGTAATAAGCTGATTTTCTTTAAGGTGGATGGAACAAAAGCGTCATGCCCTTGTTGTTCTCCTCTGACTACAGCCATTGAGACTGGAGTTGCATAGTGACGTCAGTAGGGAAAACTGGGTTCCATTCCCTGGGAATGGAAAACCAGGATGTCAAGACTGATCAGTTAGCTACAGGCGCTATACTCACAAAGACATATATATGGATTGGTGGGAAGAAAAACAAGAACCAGTTACGGGTGCAATTAATATTTTAGGTCCAAGTGAGCATACAGTAAAACCTGGCTGGTAGAAAGCAGCAAAGGAATAATACAGAAACAAAATGAAACAGATATCAGAAATGAAATGGCTCCCCAAAGAGGATATTCCTGAACCCAGTGGCTTTGCAATTTCAAGTTCCAGTTCTCTGTGAACTCCAGGTGCACTTCCTCCCCTTCAGTTCTGAGAAACCTTTGCACATGACCTTTAAAACCTCTCCTTTTGTTTTGGTGTAATTGCCTTGAGAGGGTTTCTCGCCTCAAATATTAAAATCCCTAATTAACAGTCATTGGGTTAGAGCTGAATTTATTCTACCACTTGTTAATAATGATTTAAAATTATTTCCCTTAATTTCAGACATCACTCCTTTATTTACATATTAGAAATTTGTGGGGGCACCAAGAATACAGTCAGATTTTCAGAAGAGAGGACTATCGTCATTTATAAATGTAATAATAATAATAATAACTTTTATTGATGAAGTAAGATAATTACTTACATAATCTGGTAGAGGAACATCATTGGAACTCAGTGAACCTCTCAAGGATTGTGTGGCTTGTTCTAGAACTTTGTTGTGCTTTTTAGACAGCAGAGAAAACAAACTGAAAAAAGAAACAAAAAGTTCGATTATATTAATAGATATAAGTGTCTTCCTTTTTTGAATCTTACATGGAATTACATAGTTCCACAGCATATAAATTACTCCAAAATATACTGGTAAATGGTTCTTTTCTTCATGCCTATGTTAATAACTGAACAAACAATACTACTTATATACTAAAAAAAGGTAATATAGAAAATGTTTAAAAGTGTTCTAAAAAATAAAGTATGACAATTTAAAATTATGTTTCAAACATAGGAGAAATATACAAAAGATTACTATAATGGAAATATCAGTGAACACAGGCTGAGAAAACCCAGGCTATGGACTAACTTTAGGACTCAGTCTAATCTACCACAAGTCACCTGAATTTGTGTATCTTAGTTTTCTCATCTTTCAAACAAGTGTGCTGGATTAGGTTATTTCTCTAGTATAATATACAGTCTACAATTCTCTACTGTAGCTTTATGTCTTTACTTTTCAAAATGAATGATTTGAAATACATGTGTTATAAGATTTCTGCTTCTAGCTATGACAAATTAACTGGTACTGAACTAACTCTCCTGCTGTAACCAACTAAAACTTGGGGAAAAAAATTACATGAAACAGTTGCTTTCAACTCTTGTTCAACGTCTGAAATGCAGGACACATGACACCATAATGGTAAGTTTCTGCCTAGAGGAACATTTCAGGTTATGATCCTGAAAGGTGGGACCCAAACAGTACACAGAAGTATTGTACTGAGTTGTGAAGACAGAAATATGAACTTGGGGATGCTTTGTCAGTTGAGTGTTGCAGAGCAGACTACTTCAGAGAAGAGAATCATAAAAAAGGAGGTCCAAAATCCAAGTGACATCTTAAGTGTATAGTTATATACTAAACTGTACTGTGCTGAGTAAAAATCCCACAAGGTGTGGCAGTGAATACTATCTAGAAGTTATAACCTGAGTAGAGATTTTGGAGATCATAACAGACTAAAGGATACTGGAGTTCCAATCAGCAAGTGGATAAAACTCAGGCATTCAGGTGAATTCTCAGAAAGGCCATGCTTTAGGAATAAAACTATTCAAATCTAGAATATAGACTACTTATTGTAAGTGGCACTCTAAGAAAGCTAAACTAAACAAGTTTCAAAAAATAAGGGTGATTTACATTAACGGTAAATGGACTAAACATTCTAGTTAGATGGCAGAGATTTTCAGACTGGGTGAAAAAGCAGAATCCAAACCCATACTGTTTAAAGAGATGCACCTGTAACTTAAAGATACAACAAGTAGCAGTAAAAAGATAAAAAAAAAAAGACATATTATAAAAATATTAATTATAAGAAAGCTGGAGTTGCTATATCAGTTTTAGACAGAATAGGCTTAAGATTAAGAATTCTATTACTAGAGATAATCATGGAGATTTTACAATGATGAAAGTCAATTAACAAAAATGGTAATAACAATCCTAAATTTGTGTGTGCTGAAAACAGAGCGCCAAGTATACATATTATGATTATATGATCCTAATATTAAATCTACTGCATATAATGAATAAAAAAAATCCCTCTTTAGTAGATGGCAACTTAAAAATAAAAGCAATTCTGATTCTGATACTGGAGCCACATGAGAGACTCCAAATGGATCCTGGGTCAACTTGAATACACTGAGCATCCCCATGAACATCCATGATCCTGGATGGGAGGCTGTGAGGAGAATAGTGGTACGGCATGCCCCTATTAAAGGTACTTTGTCGGTCTCTCCCTATCTGACTGTATTTCACATGGCTGACTCCTTGGTTTGAGTTCTGAACCTGGTAGCCTAAAAAACACACTGAGTGTGTGTGCCTAAAATCCCAACAGAAAAATGGAGGGGATTGTAGGATGGTCATCCTTCAGTGGGGGTGATTTCTTACTTTCCCTCTCTCTCTAACAAGCACACATACCCTATAGCAAAAACAAAGAAACAAACATAAAAAATGAAACAAATATATATATATATATA